AAATTATTTTAGTTTTTTAATTTCAATTCAATTTCAATATTTTTCAAGCTAAATTATTTTAGTTTTTTAACTTCATTCAAATCACATAGATTTATTGTAAGATTTAGTATTTTGTGTTTAAATAATAAGAAAATCTATAGAGAGTTACCAGCAATGACCACAAGGATTAACTATTCAAATGGTTTTAAAAGTTTAACTAATTTAAAAATCAAGAAATTTTCATCATTATCTAAACAAAGGTCTTTCCACATTTTTTAAGTAAAATTTCAACAGAATCTAATAACTGGTTAATTGATTCTATTATAAAGAGACCATCTTGTGCCTATATACTGCTATAGGCTATTATGCTGTTTTTTTTTTATAAAATTATTCTCAAATTATTCAAAAATCATGTTTGAATCATCATAAATTTGAACTAGAAATAGCTGTTCTAAATTGTCAATATCTTTTAAATAAAGCAAAAATTCGAAGATTTTTGTACAATTATGTCTGCTTCACAATCTGATTCTTCTAAAAGTATTGCTGACTTGTGCAAGCATGTTACAATTCTGCATTTTTCTAACAAACATTTTATTTTGTTACAATTACTTATGACATCACATGTCAATATTAAATGCAAGATATAAGCAATGTTGTGGATCCTTTGAGCCTAAGAGAAGTTTTTATCAAATTTGCTGCACCATTGTGCACAGTATATAACCTCATATCTTTGCAACGCCTCTGAAAAAACTCTCACCTGTATGACTTTCTAAAGGAATACATGCAAGAGTAAACATTTTTCTATCCCAGTTATTATTAATAATGGAACATTTTAGCCCATATAAATAATTTTTTTGTACTTGTCAGTCCAACCATCAATTATAATTGTTGCTGCATCAATATCTGTGAAATTTTTCAATACAAATCACCTTAAAGATTTGTAAATATTAGATAGAGCAACTTGAATTATAGTAGAACCTGTGGGAAGTTTTAATTCAATATTTTTAAAAAAAAAACTTTTTAAATCCTTCATTATCAACATGAGAGAATGGTAGTAGATCTATTAAAAACCAAAGGGCAAGATCGCGACTCACATCATATTTCGATGAACTAGCTACCAAGTTATTGCACCATCTATGTAAAAGTTGATCATTTTTTAGTCCAACAGCTGTTTGTCTGCTAACATTTTGTGAGCAAGAAACAAATGACATTTTAAATTACTGCTTAATGTAGAAATCCTATCCTTGTGAATTTTTGATAACTGCCCTCCAGCTGAAGACTTAACTTTTTGTTTTTCTATTAAAAATTTAAGAACTTGTTGCAACATGAGAAAAAGCTACAAAAAAAATGTTCCTTCTGTTTAGTCACATAAGAATTTTCGTTTACTTAACTCTATTTTATTCAGCCAACAAGAGTGACTTTGAAATCGGCTGAAGCTGATTACTTTGTTTGATTGGCAGCTTAGTAGTTACTAATAAAGCAAAATTGCAGCTGTAAAAAGTGGGTTAAAGTAGGCTTCTCGCTAATGGCAGCAGCTTTAACCTCTAATAACAGGCAGTTAGTTTATGCGGAACTGATGTAGTGGTAGAGCGCTCGCCTCATAAGCAAGAAGTTCCGAGTTCCATCTCTACCACGCCCTTGGTAGTACCGCGCTCAACTTATATTATTTAGTATATATATATATATATATATATATATATATATATATATATATATATATATATATATATATATACATATATTATATAGAATATATATATATGTATATATATATATATATACATATATTATATAGAATATATATATATGTATATATATATATATATTTATATAGTGTATATATATATATATATATATATATATATATATATATTTATATAGTGTGTGTATATATATATATATATATATATATATATATATATATATATATATATATATATATATATATATATATATATATATATATATATGTATATATATATATATATATATATATATATGTATATATATATATATATATATATATATATATATATATATATATATATATATATATATATATATATATATATATATATATATATATATATATGAGGGTACTGCGAATCAAGTGTCGCTTCACTTGATTCGCAGTACCCTCAAAATACAAAACCTTATACTTTTGATCTCCTTGTTATCACTGCAACTGTAGCTAGGTATAATGCTTTGAGCCTTTTTTTTTCAAATAAAACATTTTGATTGACACCCCCAGTTTAGAAGCATTAAGCTGGATTATTTTGATTCCATTTTTAGGCATTATCTAGATTAGTTTGAAATCTAGTAGTATTAATTCTGTAGCAGATAAAAACATTTTCATCTTTGAATTTCTAATTTTCATGAGCGTTATACTAAGCATGTTAAGCTTAAAATAATTTATTAATGCTTAATAATGAAACAGATTTGACTTTCTGTTCAAAAATTTAGCAGCCTAAAATTTATTCAATACAATAATTCCAAATATTGCATCAAAATTAACATAAAAAACTGAGTTAAATTTCATAATTAGATTCCATTGATTGCACTTAGTTTTATTTTTTTTTCTGTTTCTTGCTTTTGCGAGTAACATAACATTTTTTTTTTATTAAGTTGTTACTTTTGCTAAGTTTGCTTCACAAAACTTTTTAATTTAAAAGAAAAGTTGTCTTACTGCTGCTTTTTTAAAAAAACTTTCAAAGTTTTTCTGGTTTGATAAATCTTTAGCAGAGCCTCTTTCTTCATTTTTTTTTTCAGATCAGAATACTGTTTATCTAACTTTGTGAGACTATTTTTTAATAAATTCATGGTTTTAGAAACCATGAATTCATCATTGATGATGAATTGTATTTTAAAAACATTATTAAATACAATTACAATCACATTACTACAATAACATTACTATTTATTTAACAAAGTATTCATCAAAAGTCAATCATTAAATAAATTCAAAAAGTTTTACAGGAAGACTATTTTTTTTTTTTAAATAATAATGATGCCTTCTTGCTAGCTTGATTTTAGGTTAATAACTATAAGTTTTAAAATGAAAGATGGGTTTTAATAAATCAGACATCATTTTAAAAATTTAACTGAATAAGATATTGCTAAATGAAAAATTGTAGATTTTACTAGACTCTCGGTGATGGAAGCATAAATTCAGCAATATCTGAACAGGAGTTAGTCTACATTCTTTATTTAAAAAACAAAAGCCAAGAGAGAATTCCAATGCAGTGCAGATTGGAGTGCAGTTAGATTGTAGATGTATAGTGAATGGGGTTTTGCAGGAGGTGGCATTACTGATTGTAATGAAAATCTATTAGGTGCAAATCTCATTGGAGCAAAAGTAAATCTAGGAGCAAACCTCATTGGAGCAAAAGTAAATCTAGAAGCAAATCTCATCGGAGCAAAAGTAAATCTAGGAGCAAATCTCATTGGAGCAAAAGTAAATCTAGGAGCAAATCTCATTGGAGCTAAAGTAAATCTAGGAGCAAATCTCATTGGAGCAAAAGTAAATCTAGGAGCAAATCTCATTGGAGCAAAAGTAAATCTAGGAGCAAATCTTATTGGAGCAAAAGTAAATCTAGGAGCTTATGCCAGTTTAAGCTCATTCTAAAAGAAAATTTATTATTGACTGTAAATTGTTTTCAACAAATAAATTGATTTTTATTTAAAAGATACATTAAAATACTCTGCATTTAAAAATGTTGATAATTACTTTTACAATTCTTTTTTTTGTACCAAAAGTTGCACAAGCCTTAACCACAAGGCTAGAGTTAATGGCGTCCCATAACCAATAAAAGCATAGGAAACTCAGAATATTGATCACACATATAAAGCAATCAAAGTTGCTTTAGAAAATTATGGTGTGTTTATGACACAAATATAATAGTAATATAATAATAAAACATGTGTTTTTTTACATAATGCTATAATTTATAACAGTGATAAAACTGCTGAATGAGAATATTGAAAAATAATGTAGGTAGAGTGGGGCTAGTTGAGCATAGGGGCAAGTTGGGCAGTTAAAATATCTCAAAAACTACGCATCACATGACAAAACATCTAATGGATAAAAGTTAGAATGTTAACACAATGTGTAACAAAAGATTGCTGAAAAGCTATTGAGTAAGATACACAGACACTTTTTCTACTTTGGGCCAAAAAAGTAAAAAAAAATAATTACTATTTTTCTCTTAAGTGTTATAAACTTTTTTATCTGCCATCACTTAAGTGTTGATAATTTACCAATTTATTTGATTTTTGACTATAATCAACTGTTTTAAAGTCTTACTATTCTTTTTAAAACCTAACTAATGCGTCACCTTGTCTAAAAGGGGTAAGTTGAGCAGCTTTGAAAAAATAAATAAAACTGAACTAGTGAACACAAAGAAACAACTTTGATGAGAAATAATAGACCAGTATATTATTCACATATATTTTTACAATTAGTCATTTGTAAATCGGGCTTAAAAGTTCAAGATAGTTTGTATGAAATAAAAGCTCAACCAAAACTGTACTTGTTTCTTAACAAATTTTTAGCAGGTCAAATTATCTTTCAAATGTTGAAAAAATTATGTAAATCCAATGCACCGTTCATGAGATCTGTTAGATTGAGTAAAAATTGCTTAGCTAGCCCCGCTCTACCCTATTAAAGAAAAAGGAATTACAAAATGCCATCACAGATACAAAATATAAAATATCATTTACAGGATATGTATTTGTAGTAATAAAAATCCCTTTTCTGCAAACAAAGCAAGGAGGGGGTGACTGGGAAAATTTTCAAATAGATTTTAGTACATTAATTCAAGCCATGAATGATTCCATAGTTTTCAGCTTCACTTAAGTCATTTAAAGTCTAAAAGTCATAATTTCCAGCTCCTCTAAAGTCACATAATTATACAAAATTACACAGATTAAAGATAATCACACAAACTGATGGTAATCTCTATACTGCTGAGAAAAATAATGTAAAATGAAACAAACATAAATATACATAAACAAAAGCTTACCTGTTGTTCAGAGTTCCATTCATCATTTAATTGTTTGATTGATGAATCAGTTTCTATATGATTCATCAGCCGTTCATTTCTTGTTACACCAACTGCTTGATTAGTTTCAATAGCTAACTGATTTTCGAAATCATTTAAAAATTCAACCTTTGATGACAAAACTGAATTTTGAATAAGAATATCTTTGTCTGTGTTGTGCTCTTTAAGCCATTTTACTTTTGATGATTTGTTTTGAACATTACTGTCATCATTTGACTTGATATTTAATCTATTTATATCTCTAAAAACATTAATTTGTAATTTTAATAAATAAAGTTTGATAAAAAACTAGAATTAAAAAAATCATTAACCTTTAATATTTAATGATTTTAGTATCATTAGAAACATACATACATACATACATACATACATACATACATACATACATACATACATACATACATACATACATACATACATACATACATACATACATACATACATACATACAAGTGTATATATATTAGGATTATAACTTATTTGTGAGCCCATGTTTCTGGTTCATAAATCAATGAATATGAAAGTAATGAAATAAACATTAATACGATTTTCTTGTTGAAAAAGGTCCACCACAAACCAAAAATTCAAATTTGCCATATATGCATATAAATAAAACTTCAAATAATTACATTATCACAATTTTTCGATTTTAATTTTTTTAATTGGAGAGTTTTTATGCAGTTTTTAAGCATTTAACAGTTTATTGTTACATCATAACACTCTAAATAACTAATAAAGAAAAAATTATAAATTTAAACAACAATTCTAAAAGTACAAAAAGCTACTGTATATCGAAAAAATATGGAGTGGTATTCAGCTTAATTAAAGCATAATATTTTTATGCTTTATGGACAAATAAATGACAATTATCTTTCTTGGTGAATATGTCAAATCTTGAAGACACTTGATTGCTTATTTTGCACACTGATTTGTTCCGGAGATTTCTAGTCTCGATGGAACCTGATTCAAAAACTTTTCACTGAGTTTAAAACTTCTTCGTTACTGTGTTTCTACATAGCTTATGATAATCTTCTGCATTGTATATTGGGTTAGTAAATCAATGGTGTGTCCATCTGTAAGAGATGAATCTAAAAATGTGAATAGTGAGTATCTTTTCTCTGGTGGAAGAGTAAATGCCAAAAGAGCTAATAACGTTTGGGAATTCCATCTAGCATTATTTAATTTAGGTATTTTTTGAATTTTCACTTTAGGAAATACTCCAGATTTGTTTAAAAAGCAAAACAACTGAGATAAATGAATCTTTATTATCACACTATCCTGCTGTTTAAATAACTACTTCTTTACCATTCTTGAAATTCTCCTATAGCTGTTGGTAGTTCTTCTTAAGTTTTGGGATAAACAGATATTTAATAATGGGCAACATATTGTTTCTTTCAAGTTTTTTACCCACTACTACATGAAGGATTTGGTCAAGAACATGATGTTGACAACCGATGAATTGTGGTTCTTTGTAACTGACTATAAATCCCATTCCTTCATCCAGTGTTTACATTTGTCTAAAATTTGTTTATTATATGTTTGCTAAAATCATCCTAATACTCTTTCATAAACTGTCAAAGAATTAAAAACTGTCAACAAGAATAGCTGTTATATCTTTAGCAACAGTATCTGCTTTTCCTTCTGGTAGATCTAGTGCTTGTAACTTCTCTTCTCTTCGTTTATTCTTCAACTTTGTAGTGTAGTAAAGGTGTAGAATTAACTTTGTTAATTCTACACCTAATATTCTTGGTGACGTTACCAATACGTTTACCATCAAAGAGCAGTGACCAAATGTTTTCTAAATGGTTTCTAAATGTAGTGTTTTTTTTATTTCTTCTTTAAGTTTAACATCTTTTTTAATAGTTAATCTGAATATACCAGGCTGTGAAGGTGTCTGAATGTCGATCATTTCTTGAGATGTCAACAAATGATGCTGCTTTGCTGGTTGATGACTTAGAAGATATTACTCATTTGTTGCAGTTTTGGTTTTGATGTATATTTTGTGGACTGTTAGTCTTAGTGTAGTGGACTGTTCTTCTAAATCTTCTGACTCTGGATATTTTGCCTCAGATTTCCCAGTGAAAAAAAATGCTTTTCCCAAATGGATTCCATGTGGGTTCCATGTGGGATTCATGGGATCCCACATGAAACCCATGTGGGACAAGCATTTGTTTTTTACAAGGTGGGATTTAGAAGTTGACGCTGTTACTATTGTCATTACTGTTGTTGAAGTAAGCTTTGATGACATTTTTTTTTTGGATAAATGGATTGTTTTTGAATTACCAGCCTTCCCAGTTGTAAACCCGACCTGTCATTTACTTTCAATCTTGAGATTATAAATATTTTTGTCTTCAATGCAGAGCCTTTTTTTTGTGATGTCAAATACTTCATTCAATGGACTGCATTTTCTTTGTTTTACAAATTATATGTATGTCTTCAGAACTTGATCCAGATTTGTCTGTACAACTTGAATTAATAAATGTGAAAAATCTAATTTGTTTTGCCATGAATAATCATTGCTCAAAATAATCTGGCAGCTTAAATAATCTAAATCTTGCTAATTTTCATAAACTTCTAGAAGAATTCAGAAAACTCTAGAAAGTTTCAGAGATTTCTAAAAATATCCAGAACAGTTAAGAGTTCAAGAAAAACAATATAATAAATACATACAATGAGAAAAACTATATAAATAAATACAAAAAGAAAATTAAAAAAAAAAAATGATATAAATAAATACATACAATAAAAGAATCTTTTGATTTTTTGCACATTACATTTTTTTAAGTGAATCCAAACTTTTGATTGGTAGCGTATCTACTTTATATACCAATTTTTTTTTTCTTTACGTTTTGTTATTTGTTTTTTTTTTCATTACATAATAATTATGTCATTTGCATGGTGCAATATTATGTAAACTTTTTTTTATTGCTTGCTTTATAGGATTTAAATAGTGATTATCTCATCAATAAAATAAATAATAAAATGACATATGTACATAATAATGCCATTTTAATCCTTAAATAAAGTAAACATCTACTTTCACACTTTTTGTAAAAGTAGTAGAGAATTTTGTAAACTAGTAGATAATTGACATCAATTAGTAGATAAAAAATATCAATTTATTTTGACAAAATAACTTTAAGTTAAACAAGATACAATTTAAAAGTTGTTTTGCAGAATAAATCTGTAGTTCATTTTGTCTATATCTCTTGCATGCGTTTCTTGCATAACTTTTATGGCTCTTTCAGCACAAATATTGGATCTCTGAATTCCTTGTATTCTGCTGGGCTCCTGTGACCAAAATCTTTTTAAGGTCTTCATGGCTGATGTTGAAGTTTGTTTAAAATTTTTAAAATCATGTTCTGAGTATTGCATGTCAGAAAACCAAATATCAGACCAAGTTGATGCAATGAAGTCACAAATCAAGCACAATTAATTATTATCCGATTCAGTTAAAATAAAAGCCGAAATGGGGGCATTGCTCTTGAATTCCGACTGGCATTGTGCAATGATGGGAGACTTTTGAAGTTTATAGCTGGAAAGCTGCCATTCACCTTCATGTATCGGTAACTTTGTACCAAGTCGAACAAAAAATCCATGTTGTCTCTCCATTTATTAGTCTTCACTTTACAAATTTGTTCACCTTGCTTTTAAATTTTCATAATTTTTTGCAGGTTTTCAATAAATTTGTTGCGATTTTGACACTTTTTCGTTAAGAATTTCATTCATAGTAAGTTTCAAAATTGTGTCCAACACATGATGCTGACAACTAATAAATTAAAACGGCTCAAGATTTTTTCTTTCAAATTCGCTTTGCTGTTGAATTACAATTCCATTTCTACTTTAAAGAGAGCACCGCCATTTAACGGACCCATTAAACGCCCACCTATTGCTTTTATTGACATTTCTATTCACACTTATCAGATTATTTATCACTTATTGTAGTTTTAGATATTATAACTTTAATACTACTCCATAGTTGAAATAAAAACACTTCAACTATTCCACTTTAAATACTAATAGCTTCCCCATCATCTAGTTTTAAAATAGCTAGTTTCACCTCCCTTTCTGCATGTTTCACCTCCCTTTCTGCATGTTTCACCTCCCTTTCTGCATTTTTTAAAACCACGACTTGATACTCTTTCTCTGACATTCTTTTACCGTCAAAATGCAACACCCAATTCTCATTTTTTAAATTACTTATGTTCTTTTCCATTTTTTAAGCTGCTGACATTGTAGCTCTATAAACCTCAGATTTAGATGGGGCTTGTACGTTGACACCACATTCAGATAAATTTTTTTGCAAACTTCTGCTAATTTCTTAATACTTAGTTTTGACTTCATAACTAAGTTAACAGCCACAGTGGTGTTCTCATATTTTCTCTTAACTTTTTTTGTCTGGAGGAATATAATTAAAATCTTGTTCATCGCCTTCTTCATTGCTGTCACTGACCTCTACTGTATCTGTTTCAGGTATGCTAGGTCTTTTCCTGCCAGCCTTAGATGGATGTACTTTAACAGTTTTTGATGTACAATTGAAAGTTTTGAAATACAAAATAACCAACTTGACCATTAGTATCCACTTGTAAGAAGTAAAATGCTTTGTCTTTGTTGCTTAGCCAGTTACCATTTACTTTAGTTATATCAAATAAATAATCCCACTTTTCTTCAAGACATTGTTTAGATTTTTGAACTGATTGATACTTGTTAGTGAGAATTTCCACTTTTTTTATTATAGACCATAAATCAGATAATTCTGTGTTAACTCTTTTACATCTCAAATAAACTGACTTCTCTAAATTTGATAAGCAAATGAACCAACCAATAACATAATAAGCTTTTGGCATCTTATTAAAATTATCAAGTGGCTTTAAACTTTGGGTATGACAAACTTGCTGATTTTGATTTCTCAAAGTGGACTCGATTTTGAGACCAGGCTTTGATATTTTCAGGTATTTCAGCTATCTGCGAGCTTATTCTTGACATTCCTAAAGTATATGTTAATTATAAATAAGTTTTTCAAAAGCTGATAAAGAATGTCACATTAAAGTGGAATCTTAGTATTAACCTACTGATAAATGATTTATAAAGATAATATGAACTAAAAAAATTTAGCTGAAATTAAAAAATTTTTAGTAGTAGATAACTTAGCACAAAGCATACTTTTACATTTTTCCCAAAATTTTCACATTTTTTCCAAATGTTAATAGCTTTTAGGGCAAATTAAAAAAATTAAAAAGAAACAATGCAAAAATCTCTTCTTGGGTCAAATATATGCTCAACAATTGTTGAGTCTAGGTAACTAAATAACATATACAATATGATCCCAATAATTTACAACAAAACCTAATTAGCCTGTTTGATCAACTGAGTTAAGAAATTAAAAAAAAAAAAAAAAAACAGCATTAGTCTAACTTATCTTTACCAAGAATCGATTAATAAGAAACTAGTGTAAAATTAACCTAATATAATTTTACACTAGTTTCTTATTAATTCGAATTAACTTTAAAGCTTATATAAAGCTTTTAAATAAAGCTCTTATATTCTTTAATCACTGTTTTTATTCTTTCACTTTTCATTTTATCAGAGTTTTAAACTTGTATTACACTACACTTTTGTTTATGTTTTTTTTACAACAACAACAACAACAACAACAACAACAACAACAACAACAACAACAACAACAACAACAACAACAACAACAACAACAACAACAAAATATTTATTTTCCATTAATAATCGTTTTTACATAAGTAATAGTAATAATAATAATAACAGTAATCGCTTATAATTAATACTTTATTTAATGCTGCTGTTTTATAAAGAAGATTTAGCATACTTGACTTTTTAATATTTCTCTTTATATTTTTGTTCATGCAATTAGGTATTCTTAAATCTTTAAATTTAAATTAAATCTGTTATTATCTGCTTAAATCAGTAATTTGATCAAAAAACTTGCTTAACTTAATTAGTAATAAGATTGAAAACATTTTAATTTGATGACTTCTGTAATAAAGGATAAACCTTATGTTATTTTTAAATTAGTATGGTTACTTTTAAAGCCAGGTAATTTATTTTATTAATGCATTTTAATAATAACACAATTCAAGTCCTTAGGCAATTGTATTTAAAGTGTATTAATCTGTAATTTTTATTTACAAAAATTAAAAAAAAATGATGACTCTAGAAGACGATGCTCTTTTCAAAGGTCAAAAGGTCAAACTCTTCACAAAGTTAGTGTTAAACTCCGAAACCCTTGCATCTCACATGGTCAACTTTATGATGCATGTTAAAGAACAACATCGTTTAACACCTTATTTTAAAGAAAATCTGTTTGCTTTTATAATATAAAAAACCAGGTCGTTTGATTGTTTGTTTTTTTAAAGTTGTTAAACATTTATTACCAGGTATGTTGTTGAACAAATATTAAAAAATTTAGGTTGTATTTTTAAATGTTTCTAATGTGTATGTTTTTTCAATTTATATATTTAATTATATTTGTTTTATTTATTATGTGTTAAGGTTATATGGGTTTATATTTTAAAAGTGTGTAAATATTTTTTATAAATGAAGCGTTTCTATGTTTGTGATGTGTTATAATGTTATGTGTTTATAGTTTGTAGGTGGTTATTATGTTGTTTGCATGGTTTTAAGTTGTTGTGACTTGGCTTTGTTTTCAGAAAGAGTGTTGACCTTGCTAGCCAAGTGGTTTACTTTGCTATGTGACTTGGCTTTATTGAGAGCAAGAATGATGTCTGTGCCAGTAAAGTGGTGTACTGGCATGATGAAACACATAAATTAAATATGTTTGTAGTTAGCGTAATCATAAAATGTGTTGAAAAAATATTCTTGAAAGAATGTGTTTAAAAGAAACGTTGAAAAAATATACAGTTTATTGACCTTTTTTCTTTAGATTATTAAATATATAAAAAAAAAATTAAAACAGTTTAAGAAGTTTCAATATTTCCAAGTTTCTTCACTTAAAGCAATTACTGTAAAATGCCTAAATTCGTTCAGATTTGAACATTTATTTACCATGCATAAATAAAAAAAATTTAATTTTTTTTTTCTGAAACATACAGAAAATTATATTGATAATCGATATTGTAAAAATAAAAAAATAATAAATAAAAACTAGTACTCAATATGTTGTTTAAAATGAAAACATCTACTTTGACCAAACTTTCAATACCATCTCATAAAATTGGCCATTATATGAATACTAATAACGTATCACAAACTTAACCTTCAGAATTAGGAAAAATGAGATCGGCAATAATTTGCCAACCTCAATCTTTTTGAGGTCGGTATCAGGTCAGCAAAAATTATTTGATACAAAGGTCTGACCATAAAACATAGAAAGAAAATCCAAAGTTCAATCTAAAAATAAAGGTTCAACTTTATTATTTTAAGTAATTGTTCTTACACACTCCTTTGATGCCTAATTATGTCTGATAATTTAAGAAGTGAAATTATTAGACTTACTCAAAAAGAAAGAAACCAGGTTAGCCGAGCTGAGATAAATCATTGTCAAAATGAAAGAGATGAATCTAGGCAAGCTACTAGTTATAAAAAATTAGTTTGTCAGAATCCTGGTAAGAATAATTTTGTTTTCTGATCAAATTTGAAAATTTGTTTGCACTGATAGCTGTTATGTTTTTGTTTTTTTGTGTAATAGCTAATTGTCTTTGCAATAAATATTCTTACAGATTTTGATTATTTTTAAAAATGCTTCAGAAAAAGCATCAGCAACAGGTAAATTGGTTTGTAGTGTTAATCTTTAATGTTTTTACTTATCATATCTTATCATATTTTATCATGTCTTTTTTTTTTTAATTTTAGACATCTTACAATGCTTTTTCAGATTATTGCAGATCAAATAGAGGGTCCACATCTCATAAGGCACTTAAGGTGTGGGCTTAAATTTTGAACCAAAGCCCCCCCCCCTTTTTTTTAACATGGGGTAATTTATAGACATAAATTACGCCATGCAATTTTTGACTGTTTTTGACCTCCCCCTCATCACAAAATCGTAACACTTAAGAAGCAAGTTTTGTATGAGTCGTCACCGACCCCCCTCCCCTCCTTATAATGTGACATAATTTATGGACAACCCCTATAAAGTGTTGATCCTGTAGAAAGTAAAGTATGAGGAGAGTGGTGGGAAAAAAAATACGCTGCATCTAAAATTAGTATTTTTGTAGTTGGTAAATCTACCAGTTGGTGATAATTGACAATGCAAGTTTAGTCAAATTTTTTTTGTAAATATATACTTTTCTTTATATATTTTGTTTTATTATTTTATACAAATAAATTGATTTCCTGTGGTGTATTTCTTCCTTTTACACTTTGATTACTTTTTTTAGATTAATTAGATTACATGTTTGTTCAATATATAATTGAATTGACATACAATTGAATTGACATACAATTGAAAACTATTAAAAAATTAACTTTTATTAACTTGTTAATAAATGTGTAAATGAAATTATATTTAATTGTATAAAGCTATTGGGTATTTTTTTGAAACCACAATCCATCATGATTCGTATTTTATCTGTATGAACGAAAGTCTATGCAAACATCTAACGTAAACTTCAAATTATTTAAATTATCAAAAATTATATCAAATGTTACAAATTTACATTTTACTTGAAAATATTATTGCGGCAATATTTGTTTAATTTTAATTTATATTTTATAAAGCATTTAATTTATAAAGCATTTATATGCCATTTTATAAAGTTTAATAAGTCTTTTGTTTATTAAACAATGTTAAAAGATATTATAGCATACCAAAGTGGTTACCAAAGTGAAGTGCTTTGCGTGGTTTAAAATTTTTATGTTTTCACACTTAATTTTTTTTAAACCTTTTCCAATTTTCTAGAATACAAAGTGAAATATATTTAAAGGTCTATAGATGTTATATGCATAACACATATAAAGATATTAAATACGATAACAAACGAAAGGGGAGAATTCATTAAATAGCTTTTTAAAGTTTCTTAAAACATGAAAACACCATAAGAAATTTGTTTCGCGTATGTAATAATAGAGTTTAAAATTTTAATGTGCTTCGTAATAAATTAAGAGTATGCATTAAAGAGACAATTTTCTTTATAGAAAAAAGATTTTAGATAGAAACTTTAATTTTCTTTAAAATTAACAGAGCAAGAGCCCTTATAAGCTGTAGATGGCCTGGAAAAAATTAATAGAAACTTATCAAAGAAAGAAATTTGAAGGTCCGTCAGCGTTTTTTTTTTTTTTTAATTAAAGTCTACAGAAGTTATAAAGTATTATACTTTACAACTTCTATAGACTTTATAAAAAAAACAAAAAACATGAAATGACGTCATTATTTCTTCTTCAACAAGTTTCTATTAACTTTTTATTATTATTTATTAATTTTTATTAATTAATTTAATCAATACTGTATTGTAAGTTAATCCCTAACTCAAAACAAAGATTTTTATATTTTGCTCTTTTTTAAAAATTATTGAAACAAAGCAAAATTATTAAAATGTAGCTGTGGAATAGACTTACCATGACCAGTAATATATTATTATTCAGTAATAATTATATGGGTCATGTTAAGTTTGTTACTCCACATTTAAGTCATTTCATATTTTTTGAAACTTTTTATACCAATAGTAATTAATTAACAGATTTCAAGTGCATTATAAATATTACTTAGACTAGTAATGATACCCAATTTGTTAATAAATAGCAATTCGCTCAACGTCTACCAAAACGTTTTAAGTTTTTCATAGTTAATTATAATAAAAAATTTATTTTATAGCTTTAAAAAGTAAACAATAAGTATAGTTTTTACATATGTATATAATTATTTTTCCATCTCTTACTAAAACATATTTAGGAATAAGTATAGAAAAGGAATAAGTATAGAAAAGGTCAGTAATTTACCAAGACCCGTATTTTACAGGTCATGACAACTAGTTAATATTATACACACACATATATACACAACAATAAAAATAAACCTTGCAATTGGAGATTTATATTCAACTTGGTCTCTTCCCATATGCGCAGTTGCAACATTACGAGGCATGGAAGATATATTACCAAAAGTAGAATCTGTTTTTAAAGCAACTTTAAACATTTTTAGTTGTTCTTCCAAAGCAGTACTATGTTTTGTGAGTAAAGCCAAATCTTTTTCTAGACTTGTCACTTTTTTTTCTTTATTAGAAAGGCAATTTCTCAGCATGCCGATTTCCCTACCCTAATATAAATATCTGTTAGTATGCACTGCATCAAATATATATATATATATATATATATATATATATATATATATATATATATATATACACATATATATTATATTATATTTTTTTCAAAATGAGCATAAATATTATACATAGTTAGCAATAATATTTTTTTTATTATCAATGTTTTTTAGCAAGCATATAAACAATTGAAAATTACAAAAATAATAATAATACAGTAATAAATAAAAAACTATTCAAGATTTTCTTTTGTATTCAAATGCAGAACATTAAAAAATTAAAACAAATTTTTAGCAGTAAACTTGCTCTGGCATTACACCTCACACATATACACCTGTACTCGTCATCATTCATTGAAAACCACTTTTTTATGATTTTTTCATTTAAAATCACTTTTTTGTGATTCATTCATCACACTTTTTGAAGAGGATTGCTTACAAATGATGAAGATTCTTTTATAACTGAAGAGAATCTCTTTATAATTTAGGAAGACTACTCAATAATTGAAAAAAACATTTTGTAATGGAAAAGAAGTTTTATAAATAAAGAAGATCCCTATTAGAAAAGAAATTCTGATCAAAAAACCAAAAAGAAGTTTTGAAGTTTTGTTTTTATTCTGATTTACTCCCAACAAGACTGCAAGCAACTACTATTAAGTTGGAAGTTACTAGAAAAAAATCAATAGAGTTATAGAGCAAGGAAAGGTTGACAGAAGACTTGAAAGTTGTAAGATGAATGAGTCAGGAAAACTTTAAGATGAGAGAAAGTTCCAAAGGGTCGAAGTGCATTAATATAGGAATGTAGACAGTATGCGATAGTTGTTTGCAGCAAATAACTAAGTTTTGTTGGAGTTAAAATTCACAAGCAACTGCAAGCCCCAAACTGTTACAGAAGTGAGATCAGATTCAAGATCAGTTGCTTGGTCTAAAAAATTGAAAAAGAAGACTTTTTTTCAAGAAAGGAGGATAAAGATAAGTCATCAGCAAAAAGAGCTACTTAGATGTAAGGTAGTCAGGAAAATCATTGATATAGATAAAAAACAAAAGAAGACCAAGGATAGAACCTTGAAGTATACTAGAAGTTTCTGGAAATAAAGAAGAGTGTTGGCCTTCGAAAATGACTTTAATAAAGTGGTCAGAAAGAAACGATTTGATAATCTCAAAAACTTTCTATGCATTTATTTTAGTCTTGTCAAGTAACGCAAAGTCGTAACTTAGGGCTTCTTATGTGGCCTCAACAACACACACCAAAAATATTAACAGGGACACCATCCTTGCACAACTTGACACTGTTAATACTCTGATATTTTACATTGATGAAATCAGCCTCTCTGAGAACTATCACAGTGTTTGCTAAACCTTATTACCAGTTGGCCTCAGAACCATTAAACAGAGTTTTAGAGCTGTACTCTCGTTAGAAGATAACAGGAAGAGTTGCATAGCCATTATTAAGGAGATAATATATTAAGGAGACACAAGCAAAAATCTATGAGTAGAGTCAAGAAATGTTGAACAAAGTTGAAGAAAGAGCTCCAAAGCAGGGAAATTTTAGCTGAATGCAATTAGCATCTGCCCAAGATGAATTTTTATCGAGACACCACCTCTAGCCTTTACTCAATCAAGAGCCCTAAGGCAGCGGATTTTTTAAGTCAGAGTTTGTTTCTCCTATTCTTTACTTAAAAAGCAGGTGGTACTGGGTTACATGATACCAGTAGCAAGGTGATCATGATTATCTTGAACCTGACTGGACCTGAGGTAGTTTAAAAGGAGTTACTTCCTTTATACATTACTTTAAAATATTAAACAAGATATTTTAGAAATGCATTAGGAAAAATATTACATCTAACAAAAGATTAGAGATTAAGTCAAGCTTAGGTTTTATAGTTAGAGTCACTAGTAAGTTGCTGAGCTCACACTGCATCAGAGACTAAAATAGAATACAAACAAACATTAAGTAACTTAAAGGTGAATAAACACCCTGCCAGAGGTTCAGACAGAAAACAAAACATACACATTAGGGTGATGCAAAAAACAACTTTTTTAAAAATAGTCTCCTGCTCTTAACTAAATGTGTTCTATATAATACAAAAACACTAGGTTTAAAATTTTTTTTAACAAAAAATATTTTTAGGGGTGCCTCATGACCCTTGAAAATTTGACGAGTCCCTAATATTTTGAAAAAAATAGTTTTTCTAAAGTATGTCAATCTGGTACTCAAAAGAAGCAAAATTATATAAACTTCAAAAATAATGATCAATTTACATAACCATATTTTTGTCAGATATAATTGCCTAAAAACTATTGTTTTTAAGGTGATAATAAAAAAAGTCAATATTTTTAATTTTTTTTTCAAATAATTTATTAAAAAATGTTTTTTATGTAAATTGATTATTATTTTTCAAGTTTTTATATAATTTCGCTTCTATTGAGTACCAGGTTGACATACTTTAGAAAAACTATTTTTTTCAAAATATTCGGAACCCGCCAAATTTTTAAGGGTCATGAGGCACCCCTAAAAATATTTTTTGTTCAAAAAAATTTTAAACCTACTGTTTTTGTATTATATAGAACACATTTAGTTAAGAGCAGGAGACTATTTTTAAAAAAGTTGTTTTTTTGCATCACCCTAATGTGTATGTTTTGTTTTCTGTCTGAACCTCTTATAATTTTATATAACTATAATCCTTACCGATGAATTAGATTTCAAAAGCTCTTTGAGTTTATTAAGGTCCTCACTCTAAAAAAAATATTTAATTTTATTTTTAACATTTATTTTTATTCTTTTTGTGATTAACCCACTTGTGATTTGGAAATCAATCACAAGTGGATTAATCACCTGTCAAATGTCATGATGTATGGGCAATCAAGATTAATGGTGGCCAGCATTTATAAAGATAATGATCAATCAATTGTTTATTGTAGCTCTAAAAGATAAGATAATGAGCAAATCGGAAAAGATGCACCTTTAATTAAAAGATTACGGCAGTTTCGTCCTGTAAAACAGGAAAATGCAGGTGATTGGGTATTAGTATGTTGAAAGTTGGCAATTTCATAGAGAGAGGTAGCAGCATAAAAAATTGGATAGAGTGTGTTGATGATGTAAAAAATCAAGACTGTGTATTTGATGATGATGATGATGATGATGGTGATGATGATGATGATCATCATCATCATCATCATCATCATCATCATATGGATGTGCGGTAATGCAACTAAAATGTTCTATATCGCGTCGCGCTTGTTCGGTAAAGCATCTCTTGTTCGTTATTGCAACTTTTTTGTTCGCTATTGCAACTCCGTGTTCGATTTTGTAACTTGAATAATTTTGTTTTTTTTATTAAGTTGTTACGTCGTCAGCCGGCTCAAAATAATTTTCATTGAGCAGACAAAAATTTGTTTGGTGAGTGAAGTAAAATATTGATATTAAAACAAAATTGTATTTCTGAGAAGTAAATTTATGGAAATCTAATATATATCAGTAGCCTATATAATTACACATGTGTTTAAAGTTTTAAAATTCTTTTACTTAATTTTTATTTACAAAATTTACACGAAAAAAGCAATTAACTAAAAAGTGTGTAGATATTTTTGAGTACAATCAATTTTGAAGTTTATCCAACTTTACAAATCAATTTGTGATATACCTAAAAGGTATAAGCTGGCTTGAATTAAAGTGATTTATATTGATTTCTATTCAACAATTGAGTAAAAGTTTATTTAAACCACTCTGATACTAGATAGCTAGAATCTAAGTTGTGTAAGTAAACTTCTACTTAAAATTTCACCTAAAACATTACTAATTTAACCAGCTTACAATAATGTTATTATAAATATACTATATGATTATGATATATTATTAATAATATTTTATATGCTTATAATAATGTTACTAATAATATACAATGTGCTTATAATAATATTGTAAATAATAGAGTAGTTTAAGTCACTTTTAAGTTGGCATAAAAGTTATAATTTTTATTTCTTAAGTATATGATTGTTTAGTATTTGTTTACAATATTAAAAGATTTTATTTATAAAGATTATTTTTAGATTAGATTTTGTCCTTTTTACTCAAGACAAAATTTAATCTAGAGATGGCTATTTTAAAGAACTCTATTGACAAAGTTTAGATGCCAAACTTGTTATTTGCAAGTAATTTTTAAATAAAAATTTAGTTATTTTCATTTTTTTATATACGAATATAGTGTTAAAATTATAGATGGTAAATTTTTAACAGTAATAATATAATTTCAAAGATTTTAATTTATATTTACAACAGCTATGTTATCTTCTTCTTAAATATAAAGATTTAGTTTAAAAAAATTAAATTTTTCTCTTGTATTATTATGTGTATTTAAGAAATATATCTGGCGAAAACCTTTAATCATACTCCAACATTATTATCTTTTGTTTCTTTAAAAGGTAATGATGCTTATTTTACAATTAAAAGACATTAAATAGTTTTACCATATTTACAATAATTTAGTTTAAATGTTACTATTTTATTTGGCAAGTTTTATCAAAACTATCTATTAAAGTTAGTTTGAAAATTATTAAAGTTTCTCAAATATCTTCCTGACCGCTGAATTAATTTCAAACAAATGTGCAGCTCAGTTAAGTTTCGAATGTTAAAGCAACTTTATTTTTTTTTTTATAATATAATTTCAAGAGTAACTTTCAAAACCTGATGAAGAAGATAAATGTCGTTATTCTTGTAATATATTTCATATCTTTTTCAAAGTTGTTTTCACAAGTGTTTAAACATTCGATTAGGGATTGTCTATATATTTTGCAATGCAAAGTTGATTTTAAAAAAAGAAGTAAATAATATTTAATTCTTTTACATGACAAAACTTTTAGAAAAAAACTTTTGATCTCTTATGTTTTGTTTATTAGTGAAATTTAGCGTTGCATAATTTATGGACAAACCCTATTCAATTCCACTTTTAAATCAAAGAAATTCACTAATACTTTAATTTTTGCTTTTTCTATTCTTTTATTTTAGAAATTCATGGAAAACCAGATTATTTTACCTAGCTTTTAAAGTATTAATTAGTTTTTAGGCTTGTCCTAAAAGTTAGTTAAAATTACGATACTTACAGCAACTATAATTTTATTGTAGTGAAAATTTTGTTATCGCACAATCAAACAAAATGTACTATGCAAAATTAAAAAAAAAAGACTTGAAATAAAGAGATAATTGAGTTTTTTATCCTGGGGAAAATAAAAAACTAAATTGTGCTCTTTAAAGTACTTTCAAATGTTCTGTGATTGTTATAGAGTTCAAATTTTTAAAGTTACTTATAAATTTATTTGTTTTTAGGGGGAAAAGATAGATGTTTTTAAGCTTCTGGATCATACTTTTAAAATACCTCACTCTATTGATGTCAACATCTGAAGCCTTACAGCAGCATACCTTTCAATAATATCTAACTCAATATTACATCATGTGTAAAAATGTGCATTTGAATACAATTAAAATGTGTCATTTCTCAGAAAAATTTAAAAGTGCTTATTTAAATTTTTCTAAAAATGGCATGTAATTTTTTAATGCTTTCATTCAGACATTAAAGATTTGTTATCAAAACAACATTTAAAGTTTAAAAATCAATTACCTTCAACAATTACAACACAAACTAATTTGCGTGGTTTTAAAAACTATATCAATTTGATCCTGTATATTTGTACAAAGATATCATGAGGTTTTATAGTTAATTTTGCTCTTATTGCATTTATATTTTTATGTATATAATATTCATAATTTGTATTTAAACAATATTCATAATTTTTACATATAAATTCATAATTTATATATATAAATTTTTCATATTTTATATGTATATATCATGGATGCGGAATCCCTAATAAGGACTCCCGAGTTAAAGGTCACAAAAAGATTACTTCTTTCTAGTTTTTGGTATCCAGTAGCTTTAAAGATATAAAAAGGCCTAAGGACTACTAATGGGGAAAAAAATCAAGACTGATACATCAGTTGAACAATAATTTTTGAACCCGAAATCCAAGGTATAAAGGCGGCATAGACTCCAGGACTTCAGGCAAGTTTATGCATTTTACTAAACTTATGTATGTATTATATTGAATATATCTTTACATTTAGTGTCTTGTTCAAGCAATAAAGTTGTATATGAAAGATTTGAAAAGTTTCATCAACTTACAACAACAGACACTAGATTCCAATATTAGACTAAATTTAGACCTAAAAGGTTGTGACAAAACCCTGAAGATTTAATCAGAAAAAAATGTGTTTTGAGTTTATATTGTAAATATGTTACTATTGAAAAAGTTTATCAAATTGCATTTGCATGCATTTACTTGTATATTCTAGTTTAAAAAAGTTTATTATATATATGTTAGATTACTGATTTAAAACAAAGTTGGTTGATTTTTTTAATTGAATTTTTTTTACAATATAAAAAATTCAATTAAGTGTAACGAACTATTAAAACTTATCAAAATAGTAAATTGAAATTTCTCATGCAATCTACAATATAGGATTGTCAGCTTTAAGTTGAATGTTAGTTGCATTTAAAATTATGTTTTTTTAAAGGATATATATATATATATATATATATATATATATATATATATATATATATATATATATATATATATATATATATATATATATATATATATATATATATATATATATATATATATATATATGTATATATATATATATATATATATATATATGTATATATATAAATATATATATATATATATATATATATATATATATATATATATATATATATATACATAGAGTAGAGCGGAATTAATTAGCAATCATTATCACTTAATTGATTTATCTTTAGATCTAGAGTTTTTCTTTCTTTTTTAATTTTGTTTGATATTGTGATATTGATGGTAAAAACTTTTCAACTAACAACTGTCATCAGAAGTCCTTAACGATGCTAAAGACTTCTGATGATAAGACGGTTAGGACTTCTGAGAACATCCTAATAAAACAAAATTTTTTTAAGAAATTGGCTTTTGACATGAAAAAGAAAATGATTTACATTTAAAAAAATTGCTCTATTATTAGGTCCAGGAATTTTAAAGACTAAATTAAATTTACTTGGAAGCATACAAAAGATCCTTGTAATATGCTTCGTATCATTAGGTATGGTACCGTTAAAAATCTGTCAGTTATACAACAAATAGTTTTGAAAAAAAACAAGAGTATGACGAAATGGGTCTAAAATTTAAAATTGAGTGGAAACAAATCTGTATATATAGCTTGTGTTTTAAAATACAAGTTTTTGTTTTTTTAAATGTTGTTCAAGTATTTATACACTCGTAAGTTTTCATTTTCACGCTTAAAAGATAAAATTGTTATAGGGTAAATGCCAATGTGTGGTATTTTATGGGTGTAATTTTGTAGTTTTTTTTTTTTTACGCAAATTTATTTTGCTCTATTATCTCCGATGACTAATGGCCATTTTTTTTAATTGCAAACTCAAAACTTATGGAAGCAATGAATCATTATGATAAAATAAGCATACTGACAAAATATTACTGCTTCATTGGTCTAAGATTTGCAATAACCCATGATTTTTAAAACGTTCGATATCTTGCTTTGTCTTCCCCTATCTATAAAAACTATGGATATTCTTTTAATTTTTTGGACTTAGTGAGATGGCCATTGAAAGTGCATAAATATTTTGTAATCTATTCAAATTTCCAGATAGCCCCGTTTTAATGTTAATATAT